CACGGTGTGTACTACACACTCATTCTACACGGTGTGTACTACACACTTAGTCATAGTAGTACAGACTGTATGCTATTAGAATACTATTCTAGAAGTCTTCCTCCCGACCAGTTCTCAAAGCCAGAGATGACGGAGGAGTTTCTGTGACGAGATGTCAGACGATGTAGAGTCTCAGTAACAGTTAGTTTAACAGCCTGTACTTTGATTCCAGACGGTTTTTGATGAGTCAAACAAACGGCCACAGGAAACAGGAAACAGGAAGCAGGAGGTCACGTGAGCTCGTTCACTCTGAGCACATGTGAACAGTTTGAAGTTAACGTGTTGCTTCAGTTCATCAGCTTTAGATCACTGGAGCCACACACGGCAGTGTTACTGGGTCATTGAACCACAGACGCTCTGCCATGTAAATCCTTCAGTTTTATTTGATAAGAGTCGCTCCTCACAGAGTCGCTCCTCACAGAGTCGCTCCTCACAGAGTCGCTCCTCACAGTCAGGAACACACACACGTCCTCAAAAACATTGGAATCAGTATTGTGTGTGTGTGTGTGAGCCTCTGGGATAGTGTTTGAGTGGAGCTGCTTGTTTTATAACCGGTCAGACAGAGGAATGTGTGTTTGTGTTTCCAGTTTGACAGGGAGTCACCCCCCCCCCCCCCCTCCCCGTGTGGCCTTCACTGATTGTTGTGACACTTTCGTTAAACTTAAAGTGTGTGTGTGTGTGTGTGTTTCCTTTTCCTTTTCCAGAGACACTTCTTCAGGAATCTGGGCTCGATCATCACTTATGCGTTTCTGGGCACTGCCATCTCTTGTTTTGTTATCGGGTGAGTTTCTACTTTCTGTTCATGAAACCTTGAATGTGGGGTTGGTAATCTAGATCTAACAAGTGATCCGGCCTATAAACTCAGCTCAGTGTTGTAACTCTGAGCTCAAAGTGTTTAAACGTCTTCATCACTTCATCACAGTCCTCTAAAGACACGCCCCCTAGATTATCCTGAAGAATGTAAACAAACAACATGGCTGCTGTTAAGAGAGAAGCTGGAGGAAGACGAGCAATGAGTGACAGACAGACGGGTAGGTTGGTAGGCAGGTAGGCAGAAAGATAGGTAGGTAAACAGGCTGGCAGACAGACATTGAATCGTTCCTTTGGTTCTGAATGAAATGATTAGTCGTCTTATTTCAGTCTTTCAGCCTCAGAAACAGATTCTTCTCGTTTCTTTCTCACTGATTTTGATTCACTGATTGCCGAAATAAGAATTTCAATAAAAACATATGAAACATGTTTGTGAAGAAGATGACTAACCCTGTCTTTAATGATGGAAGCTCTGTCTGTCTGTCCTCAGGAATCTGATGTACGGTGTGGTCAAACTCATGCAGATGGTCGGACAGCTGACCGACAAGTTCTACTACACCGACTGCCTCTTCTTTGGAGCCATCATGTCGGCCACAGACCCGGGTACGTGACCACACGCTGCGTCAGCAGTTTGTGACCGAGCGGATGAGCTAATGTCATGTTCTAAATGTGTGCAGTGACGGTGTTGGCCATCTTCAACGAGCTCCACGCTGACGGGGATCTGTACGCTCTGCTGTTTGGAGAGAGTGTGATGAACGACGCGGTGGCCATCGTGCTTTCCTCGTGAGTCCCTTTCCCGCCTTCTTCACCAGATAAACGTCTCCGAGGCTCCTGACCTCCTTTTCCCTCCTGATGGTGAAATTCAACCCTGAAGTGAGACAGATTCAGCTGCTCCTCTGGACGGACAGACGGCCCTCTGCCTCCCTCTGCTGGAGATATTACAAAGCACCTACTGACTATGTATTTACTGTAAAACAATGGAGCATCACCAGAGGAATTTTTAAGTTTTATTTTAAATGTTTCCATAATTTTGTCTGTGTGATTCCTATGGGATCATTTTTTATTTCATTTTATTTTGAAAGTTTGTCTTCTCACAGGTTAACAGACGAACAAATTGGCCTTTATGTGATGTCGTCGCTTTTCTGCTTTATTGTATTTTATTTATGTTATTATACTGTTATTATACTGTTTTTAAAGTGAGGCACAAAGGGTTAACAAACTATTATTGTGTTTCATTAAATAAACAAATCATAGGAACAGAAATTATTTCCCAAAAAGAGCCAAAGTTACAGTCCTCCTTGTCCTCAATCATGAGGAGGTGAATCCATTCAAACCTCATTGACGGATTGGTTGATTCCTGACTTTAAATCCGTCCTCTGTGCTGCAGGTCTATCGTGGCGTACCAGCCCAGCGGAGCCAACACACACATGTTCGATGCCTCGGCCTTCTTCAAGTCGGTGGGGGTTTTCCTGGGTATTTTCAGCGGCTCCTTCGTGATGGGTGCAGCCACAGCAGTCGTCACCGCTCTCATATCCTTCACAAACACAGTCTACTTTCAGACGTATTTGATTAATGTTGGACAGCAGGTGAGTTATAGTAAAGATCTAAAACTCTGTTGATGTCTTTAACTCGACTCTCACGTCACCAAGTTCACCAAGCTGCACTGTTTCCCGCTGCTGGAGACGGCGCTCTTCTTCCTCATGTCCTGGAGCACCTTCCTGCTGGCTGAAGCCTGCGGGTTCACAGGTGAGCCGGTCCGAGCTGCTGTGGAGGAATGTGTGGAAGTAGAGCGCAGACCGCTGTGGTCAGGATGCTGAGAGGACACTACTCAGCACATGACTTTATCATATGTTTGGACATGTATTCACATTTATTTCTGATATCTTTAGAATATTTTTCACGTATTTCTGGACATATATTCACGTATTGTTTTTTGGAAATTCATAAACGTATTCTTCTGAACATTTTTCACACATTTCTTTCCGGACATTGTTTTGAATTCTTTCGTTTGTTTTGACATATTTTCACACATTTAAAAAAATATTTTTCACATACTTTTAACTATTTTTTTAGAACTTTATTTTGTGACAGTTTTCTGTAATTTTTTACGTATTTCTTGACGTATATTTACATATTCTTTTGGAAATACACATTTCTCTGACATTTTATGGACATTTTTCACATATTTTCAGACATTTTCACATATTGTTGTGAAGGATGTGAAAAACAATATTAAGCTTATTATCGTTCCACACTTTGTCTTCTTCTGTATTTACACTATTGTTATTAGTTGGTTCACGGGCCTTTTTATTCTCCAAAACATCTTTAAAAGGGAAACTTTCAAGAGACCGATTAAGGAAATAATAAAAATTGAAGCAGCCGAGGCTGAGACATCCAAAACCCCGAGATAATACATTTCCCACAATGCAACTCAAATGCATCTTTTATTAGACTTCCCTTCCTGTTAAATGCCCTCATATTTTATGACGCAGTGACTCTTCAAATGAAGCTTCAGTTGTTAAATATCTGTGAATGTTTCTGCAGATAAAGTTATAATTCTTTTAATTCCGAGCTGTTGATTCTGCTGAATGACGTCATGATGAGCAGTTTAGACTGAACAGCCTCAGAGAGCTCAATCTGTCTGTTATGCAAATGAAATGTAACGGGGACTTAAACACAGATTATGCAGCAGATGTGCAGGACATGAAATTAAAGGGATAATATGATAATATGACTCCCAGTAACGAGCTGATTGTTTGTGACTACAGGCGTCGTGGCCGTGCTGTTCTGTGGCATCACGCAGGCTCACTACACCCACAACAACCTCTCTGCAGAGTCCAACAAGCGCACCAAGCAGGTACATTCTGACCACTTTCTGCACATGCAAACCCCGTTTATGCCCCCCCCCCCGTGGTGGTAAGGACCGGTGCTCGGCCCACGCTGCCAGATGGTTCCATGAGCGGCCTGCTGTGACCTTAATCTGGGTTTTCTGAGGACGTCGCTCCCAGACAGGGTTCAGTCTTGAGGTCGGGGTGCAGATTAGGGACGAGCAGCGTAATGCATTCAGGGACCAGTGTTCCAAGTATTCTAGCAGACTACACGTGTACAATATGACAAGAATCTTCACTTTTAGACAGTAAACATTGCAAAAAACTGGTTCCTTAACTCGTCTTCTTTCAGACGAGAGGAAATAAAACATTTATTTTATACTTTGTCTGTTTACGTCTGTAGATTTCTACTAAATTCACCAAAAGTTTCCATTCGATAATGACACATTTGCATATTTAAAAATAACATTTCATAAAACTTGTAATACAATAAATACTCCTCTTAATGTGAGTGATGAAGTGGTGAAGTTTCATGGTGATATCTGTGAGTTCATGTTGTGACTCTATTCACCTGTAGAGTCTTCTTAATGTGAGTGATGAAGTGGTGAAGTTTCATGGTGATATCTATGAGTTCATGTGTTCACCTGTAGAGTCTTCTTAATGTGAGTGAAGTGGTGAAGTTTGATGGTGATATCTATGAGTTCATGTGTTCACCTGTAGAGTCTTCTTAATGTGAGTGATGAAGTGGTGAAGTTTCATGGTGATATCTATGAGTTCATGTGTTCACCTGTAGAGTCATCTTAATGTGAGTGATGAAGTGGTGAAGTTTCATGGTGATATCATGAGTTCATGTGTTCACCTGTAGAGTCATCTTAATGTGAGTGATGAAGTAGTGAAGTTTCATGGTGATATCTATGAGTTCATGTGTTCACCTGTAGA